TGATCTAACTAATGTAGAAAATTCATCCAGCCAAAATGCTTCCCTTGTGAATTCAGTTTTAAAGGACTCTGAAGATAGATAAATTAAATGAATATAAATTATGACAATTTCGGCATGAAATCAAATTGATTTTATATTCAATTAAACTGATAAAAGATATATATATTTTTATAGGGTATCATTCTTGTAGTTCTAAAACTTTAATTGATTGCAACATTTAATTCTTGAAGATGTCATTCAGCAATAAATTTTAAAATTACTCTGAAAAAGTAATTTTTACAGGGTATCAGGCAGCTATTTCTAGGGTTTGATTTAATTTAAGCTTTTGCACGATTTGTTTCAATAGGTATATTTTATTTACATTAATTTTACTCTCTATTCTCACATAGCTCCCTGTCGGGCTCGCCCAGCATCGTTTTCGTAGCCAATTTGGGCAGTAAGGGCATCACCGTTGATCTTGATCAGTTTGACAAGACCCTGCCAACGCATTTGACCCTGAAAATACGCAGCATTAGCTCCACCAAGGCTGAGGGGTAAGTCAAGGGCTAGGCAGTTAACATACTGTTATTAACATTTCTGTTTTTCTCTTCTGTGCTGTCAGCTCTCTGTTTGAGACCAAAGGACTCAGCCTGGCCGCTGGGGAGGCGCTGGTAATGAGCACCGATTAAGCGCAACAAAGTTCTTCAACTTTTCGTGTATATATGTACATATATAGATATATATATTCTTAAGCCTAACCAATTAAATTTCGCAATCGCACACTTGAAAAACTTTCGACAGCTTCTCGGGGTCTTTCGGGGTATTCTTATGGCTGCAAAGCAAATATGCCGCTACTTGTATAAATAAATAAGCAAATAAATCGACAAACAAACCACACACACACATACGCACACATACACCAGACTTAATAGCATGCTCACACACACGCACACGCACACACTTATATAAATTTTGCAGATAGGCTCAAGTGCTCGAGTCACTCATGTAATTTCCTGCAAAAGCGCGGGGGTCGTCGCTATTTAAAGTGTTTACACACAAATTAAAGTCAAGCCGTAAAGCGTCTCGTATTTGGCTTTATATTTTTGCCGTTGCTCTTGTTTTTCTCTCTCTCTCTCTCTCTCTCGTTTCTTTTTTGGTTGTTTAAAAGGCTCTACATCAACCGAAAGGCAAAGTATGCGTTACACAAAGTTAATACGTCGACAAGTGGGCCCTAGATCCACAGAAATGACGAGGTCCGGGCCACCTTTGAAGTTCTCATGGCATGCAGCGAGGGCTGATTGTAAGCTTTGCTAAGCGGATTCCGTGTGGCAGAATAACAATATTATAGGCAGTGGTTGGGCGGATAATGAAACATGGAAATTGAGGGGAAATATTTTACATGAAGTTTAAAAAACTTCATTACATTAAATTGTTGCTAATAATTAAGTTTTAATATAAGACATGGAAATCAGTGAAAATATTTGCATATATAAATTATATTAAAAAAATAATAATAATAATAAAAAGAAACTTTTTGCTTAAAATTAAAAAAAAAAAAAAAAAAATTAAATTAAAAGCAACTTATTAAATGCAAATATTAAAAAATATATATATATTGAATTTTTCATAATAGACAATCGTATTTTGTAAAGCAATTTAAGCTTGCATGGCTGAGCTTATAAAATAATCAAATATATATACATATATATAATATAATTTATAACCTCTCCTCATATATATTTCCAACTAACCCTCGGCATTTCAGGCTTGCACGTGTTCGGTTTCCAAAAGTGAAATTTCAATTATGCTAAACATAATTAAATTGCGTTTACACATGTTAATTTGTATATGCCAGCCATGCAAAGCGAATGACGTGTTTGGGCCCACGTGAGCATGTCTAAATACAATATAAGGCTGAGGCTAGCCTTGCTGAAGCTGCTGCCTCACAATAGTTGGCTGAGCATTTCGGCAAGCACTCGGCCCAGCTGAGACAGTTGGTGCCTTGTCGCCTCGCACTCGGGTGGGTCATTAACACGTATCTGGCTGAAGCACCTGTTCGCTTTTGCTTGCCAGATTTGCAGCTGGCTTGAGCAATGCACTAGCAAACAACAACAATTGCCATCTGCTGCTTGATAAATATGTGTAGCTACTCGATAGTTGAAGCATATGTTGGAGTGAAGAGATATGTCTACTGTATTTAGTTTAATTAAGAAATTAAGGTAAACAAAAGACTTTAGGGATTTGTGGAGCGAGCTGTTGACAAGATTGTGCAAACATTTATGCTGTTTGCTACCAAGATTTATTTATATAATTTATTAGAACAATTTTTAGCTTGAAGAAAAGAGATTTAAATTAATATTGGTGCATACACAATTATTATTATTTTTGTTCTTGCAATGAATCTTTTATAAGATGCAATTAAAATATAGTTAAATTTACTTTATTTAAATTAGTAGAACTATTTATTGATTTATTTACTTGTATCTTAATTAATTAATTTATTTTTTTAATAAGGCCTTCATTAAAAAAATCTTAAAATGTAAGTTGATAAAATTACTAAATATATGTATTATATAATAAATAAAAATATGCAATTAATATTTATTTTAATTTAATATTACTAGCAACTTATGCAATTTTATTATTATTATTATTATTATTATTATTATTATTATTATTATTATTATTA